CGTCTCTTACTGGGAGTGTATAATGAACCCCGGGCCGACCCGTCTCTTACTGGGAGTGTATAATGAACCCCGGGCCGACCCGTCTCTTACTGGGAGTGTATAATGAACCCCGGGCCGACCCGTCTCTTACTGGGAGTGTATAATGAACCCCGGGCCGACCCGTCTCTTACTGGGGGTGTATAATGAACCCATGGCCGACCCGTCTCTTACTGGGAGTGTATAATGAACCCCGGGCCGACCCGTCTCTTACTGGGAGTGTATAATGAACCCCGGGCCGACCCGTCTCTTACTGGGAGTGTATAATGAACCCCGGGCCGACCCGTCTCTTACTGGGAGTGTATAATGAACCCCGGGCCGACCCGTCTCTTACTGGGGGTGTATAATGAACCCCGGGCCGACCCGTCTCTTACTGGGGGTGTATAATGAACCCCAGGCCGACCCGTCTCTTACTGGGGGTGTATAATGAACCCCAGGCCGACCCGTCTCTTACTGGGGGGTGTATACTGAACCCCAGGCCGACCCGTCTCTTACTGGGGGTGTATAATGAACCCCGGGCCGACCCGTCTCTTACTGGGGGGTGTATAATGAGCGCTGGGCCGACCCGTCTGTTACTGGGGGGTGTATAATGAGCGCTGGGCCGACCCGTCTGTTACTGGGGGGTGTATAATGAGCGCTGGGCCGACCCGTCTCTTACTGGGGGTGTATAATGAGCGCTGGGCCGACCCGTCTCTTACTGGGGGTGTATAATGAGCGCGGGGCCGCCCCGTCTCTTACTGGGAGTGTATAATGAACGCTGGGCCGCCCCGTCTCTTACTGAGGGGTGTATAATGAGCGCTGGGCCGACCCGTCTCTTACTGGGGGGTGTATAATGAACGCGGGGCCGACCCGTCTCTTACAGGGGGTGTATAATGAACGCTGGGCCGACCCGTCTCTTACTGGGAGTGTATAATGAACGCGGGGCCGACCCGTCTCTTACTGGGGGTGTATAATGAACGCGGGGCCGACCCGTCTCTTACTGGGGGTGTATAATGAACGCTGGGCCGACCCGTCTCTTACTGGGGGGTGTATAATGAACGCTGGGCCGACCCGTCTCTTACTGGGAGTGTATAATGAACGCGGGGCCGACCCGTCTCTTACTGGGGGGTGTATAATGAACGCGGGGCCGACCCGTCTCTTACTGGGAGTGTATAATGAACGCGGGGCCGACCCGTCTCTTACTGGGAGTGTATAATGAACGCGGGCCGACCCGTCTCTTACTGGGGGTGTATAATGAACGCGGGGCCGACCCGTCTCTTACTGGGAGTGTATAATGAGCGCTGGGCCGCCCCCGTCTCTTACTGGGGGGTGTATAATGAGCGCTGGGCCGACCCGTCTGTTACTGGGGGGTGTATAATGAGCGCTGGGCCGACCCGTCTGTTACTGGGGGGTGTATAATGAGCGCGGGGCCGCCCCGCCTCTTACTGGGCGTGTATAATGAGCGCTGGGCCGCCCCCGTCTCTTACTGGGGGGTGTATAATGAGCGCTGGGCCGACCCGTCTGTTACTGGGGGGTGTATAATGAGCGCGGGGCCGCCCCCGTCTCTTACTGGGAGTGTATAATGAGCGCTGGGCCGCCCCCGTCTCTTACTGGGGGGTGTATAATGAGCGCTGGGCCGACCCGTCTGTTACTGGGGGGTGTATAATGAGCCCTGGGCCGACCCGTCTCTTACTGGGGGTGTATAATGAACGCTGGACCGACCCGTCTCTTACTGGGAGTGTATAATGAGCGCTGGGCCGCCCCCGTCTCTTACTGGGTGTATAATGAGCGCTGGGCCGACCCGTCTGTTACTGGGGGGTGTATAATGAGCGCTGGGCCGACCCGTCTCTTACTGGGGGTGTATAATGAACGCTGGGCCGACCCGTCTCTTACTGGGAGTGTATAATGAGCGCTGGGCCGACCCGTCTCTTACTGGGGGGTGTATAATGAGCGCTGGGCCGACCCGTCTCTTACTGGGGGGTGTATAATGAACGCGGGGCCGACCCGTCTCTTACTGGGAGTGTATAATGAGCGCTGGGCCGACCCGTCTCTTACTGGGAGTGTATAATGAACGCTGGGCCGACCCGTCTCTTACTGGGAGTGTATAATGAGCGATGGGCCGACCCGTCTCTTACTGGGGGGTGTATAATGAACGCTGGGCCGACCCGTCTCTTACTGGGGGGTGTATAATGAACCCCGGGCCGACCCGTCTCTTACTGGGAGTGTATAATGAGCGCTGGGCCGACCCGTCTGTTACTGGGGGTGTATAATGAGCGCGGGGCCGCCCCGTCTCTTACTGGGAGTGTATAATGAACGCTGGGCCGCCCCGTCTCTTACTGAGGGGTGTATAATGAGCGCTGGGCCGACCCGTCTCTTACTGGGGGGTGTATAATGAACGCGGGGCCGACCCGTCTCTTACAGGGGGTGTATAATGAACGCTGGGCCGACCCGTCTCTTACTGGGAGTGTATAATGAACGCGGGGCCGACCCGTCTCTTACTGGGAGTGTATAATGAACGCGGGGCCGACCCGTCTCTTACTGGGGGTGTATAATGAACGCTGGGCCGACCCGTCTCTTACTGGGGGGTGTATAATGAGCGCTGGGCCGACCCGTCTCTTACTGGGAGTGTATAATGAACGCGGGGCCGACCCGTCTCTTACTGGGGGGTGTATAATGAACGCGGGGCCGACCCGTCTCTTACTGGGAGTGTATAATGAACGCGGGGCCGACCCGTCTCTTACTGGGAGTGTATAATGAACGCGGGGCCGACCCGTCTCTTACTGGGGGTGTATAATGAACGCGGGGCCGACCCGTCTCTTACTGGGAGTGTATAATGAGCGCTGGGCCGCCCCCGTCTCTTACTGGGGGGTGTATAATGAGCGCTGGGCCGACCCGTCTGTTACTGGGGGGTGTATAATGAGCGCTGGGCCGACCCGTCTGTTACTGGGGGGTGTATAATGAGCGCGGGGCCGCCCCGTCTCTTACTGGGAGTGTATAATGAGCGCTGGGCCGCCCCCGTCTCTTACTGGGGGGTGTATAATGAGCGCTGGGCCGACCCCACACTTACTGGGGGGTGTATAATGAGCGCGGGCCGCCCCGTCTCTTACTGGGAGTGTATAATGAGCGCTGGGCCGCCCCCGTCTCTTACTGGGGGGTGTATAATGAGCGCTGGGCCGACCCGTCTGTTACTGGGGGGTGTATAATGAGCCCTGGGCCGACCCGTCTCTTACTGGGGGTGTATAATGAACGCTGGACCGACCCGTCTCTTACTGGGAGTGTATAATGAGCGCTGGGCCGCCCCCGTCTCTTACTGGGTGTATAATGAGCGCTGGGCCGACCCGTCTGTTACTGGGGGGTGTATAATGAGCGCTGGGCCGACCCGTCTCTTACTGGGGGTGTATAATGAACGCTGGGCCGACCCGTCTCTTACTGGGAGTGTATAATGAACGCTGGGCCGACCCGTCTCTTACTGGGGGGTGTATAATGAGCGCTGGGCCGACCCGTCTCTTACTGGGGGTGTATAATGAGCGCGGGGCCGACCCGTCTCTTACTGGGAGTGTATAATGAACGCGGGGCCGACCCGTCTCTTACTGGGAGTGTATAATGAACGCTGGGCCGACCCGTCTCTTACTGGGAGTGTATAATGAACGCTGGGCCGACCCGTCTCTTACTGGGGGGTGTATAATGAACGCTGGGCCGACCCGTCTCTTACTGGGGGGTGTATAATGAACCCCGGGCCGACCCGTCTCTTACTGGGAGTGTATAATGAGCGCTGGGCCGACCCGTCTCTTACTGGGAGTGTATAATGAGCGCTGGGCCGACCCGTCTGTTACTGGGGGGTGTATAATGAGCGCTGGGCCGACCCGTCTCTTACTGGGGGGTGTATAATGAACGCGGGGCCGACCCGTCTCTTACTGGGAGTGTATAATGAGCGCTGGGCCGACCCGTCTGTTACTGGGGGGTGTATAATGAGCGCTGGGCCGACCCGTCTCTTACTGGGGGGTGTATAATGAACACTGGGCCGACCCGTCTCTTACTGGGAGTGTATAATGAGCGCTGGGCCGACCCGTCTCTTACTGGAAGTGTATAATGAACGCTGGGCCGACCCGTCTCTTACTGGGGGGTGTATAATGAGCGCTGGGCCGACCCGTCTCTTACTGGGGGTGTATAATGAACGCTGGGCCGACCCGTCTCTTACTGGGGGGTGTATAATGAACCCCGGGCCGACCCGTCTCTTACTGGGAGGGTATAATGAGCGCTGGGCCGACCCGTCTCTTACTGGGGGGTGTATAATGAGCGCTGGGCCAACCCCGTCTCTTACTGTGAGTGTATAATGAGTACATGATATCCACATATTATACCGGAACCAATAAACATTAGCCTCAAGAAAACGTAAACATTGCGGTGGTTTAATTTCCTTAAACCATTTTAACGTTAAGGTCGATAGTGTGTATATGCAACTACAGTATGACAAGGCGTCCACTTACGAAACCTGTATATCATTCTAAATTCATGATGGTTTTGTTGACAAATATTAGTTTATGAGCCTCGATCTTCACAACACAAGCGTATGCAACCTAGTGTATCCGGTACTTAACCCACTAGACCACACTGACTGATCAAAAGGATTGGAAATCGACAGACCCTTAACCCAATCCCCGACAGTACTCGGTGGTGAATTTTCTGGACATATATATCATTGAATCACCTCATATTATATATATATATATATATATATATATATATATATATATATATATATATATATATATATATATATAATGGTCTTGAGCCTGAAGGACATCTTGAGAAAGACTTCAACACACACTTCAGCATATAATATTAATTACTTGGACTGAGATTGAGAAAAACATTGCAAGTTGTACAAATCCACAAGGGCCGTGACGAGGATTCGAACCTGCGTCCGGGAGCATCCCAGACACTGGGATGATACCCTTGTGGATTTGTTCATTTGATGCATCACGTTAGTGTGATCTCTGTGTGTGATTGCTAGTTGTGTCCTCTCCGTAAGGGACAACTCGCATCAACACGTTACCGGCAGCGGGTGGACTGTCACATCCTTGCAGCATGCAGTCACATCCTTGCAGCATGCTGTCACATCCTTGCAGCATGCAGTCACATCCTTGCAGCATGCAGTCACATCCTTGCAGCATGTAGTCACACCCTTGCAGCATGCAGTCACATCCTTGCAGCATGCAGTCACATCCTTGCAGCATGCAGCCACATCCTTGCAGCATGCAGTCACATCCTTGCAGCACGCAGTCACATCCTTGCAGCATGCAGTCACATCCTTGCAGCATGCAGTCACATCCTTGCAGCATGCAGTCACACCCTTGCAGCATGCAGTCACATCCTTGCAGCATGCAGTCACATCCTTGCAGCACGCAGTCACATCCTTGCAGCATGCAGTCACATCCTTGCAGCATGCAGTCACATCCTTGCAGCATGCAGTCACATCCTTGCAGCATGCAGTCACATCCTTGCAGCATGCAGTCACATCCTTGCAGCATGCAGTCACATCCTTGCATAATGCAGTCACATCCTTGCAGCATGCAGTCACATCCTTGCAGCACGCAGTCACATCCTTGCAGCATGCAGTCACATCCTTGCAGCATGCAGTCACATCCTTGCAGCATGCAGTCACATCCTTGCAGCACGCAGTCACATCCTTGCAGCATGCAGTCACATCCTTGCAGCATGCAGTCACATCCTTGCAGCATGCAGTCACATCCTTGCAGCACGCAGTCACATCCTTGCAGCACGCAGTCACATCCTTGCAGCATGCAGTCACATCCTTGCAGCATGCAGTCAGAGCGCTACCTTACTGCCTACCAGACACACCCCTGATACCCATGGTGGTGCCCAAGACCCCAGGATCATCCCCGAGAAGCGCCGCCCACTGTGACAGCGTGTTCAACTCCCACCCTGGCTGCTCCCATCAACATAGCGGTGATCCCCTGCTCTCCCGCCTCATTTCTCGGTGATTCACACACCGGGTGCGACAATTACGTGTCATTAACATGCTCAGCGCAGCCCAACATTGTAGGCATTATTGCCTCGAGGTGACCATTAGTGCACTCGTAATTGTCGCCTGTCAATGGCCAGGCCCACACACACACACACACACACACACACACACACACACACACACACACACACACACACACACACACACACACACACATAAACACACACACACACACAAAGTGAGAAGGTGGTGGAGGCCAAGACCGTCAGTAGTTTCAAAGCGTTATATGACAAAGAGTGCTGGGAAGACGGGACACCACGAGCGTAGCTCTCATCCTGTAACTACACTTAGGTAATTACACACACACACACACACACACACACACACACACACACACACACACACACACACACACACACACACACACACATAAACACACACACACAATTAGGTGAGTGCACAGTTCTGGGACTAGTCTAGTGGGGTGTGTACTCACCTATATGTGCTTGCAGGATCGAGCATTGACTCTTGGATCCCGCCAGCATTGACTCTTGGATCCCGCCAGCATTGACTCTTGGATATGTGTGTGTGTGTGTGTGTGTGTGTGTGTGTGTGTGTGTGTGTGTGTGTGTGTGTGTGTGTGTGTGTGTGTGTGTGTGTGTGTGAAGGAAAATATATATAGTAAATATAATAGAAGCAAAATAAGTCGGCAGACTAATCTGTCCTCTTACAAAGAACGTCGCTTTTCGCTCGTATGCGTCACATAAGGCCAAATATGGTCGTACTGGAAAATGGAAGCGGCTGGCGAAAGTGGCGTACTGTCCCGTTTTCTGTTTTGGGTCCTCTGGTAGGTTAGGGGAGACCACTTTAAATTTCCCGTTTACCTGACATTGGGAAACCTTAGGGCGGACGGGCTAGGAAGACAATACACTAGACAACCAACGCTTAGAAAGGCGGGGCCCAAGAGCTAACAGCTCGATCTTGCACTCACACATAGTAAACACACACAGAGTTTTCACCCTGCATGACTTAAAACAACGAGCATAGACAGCCAACAGCACAAGACAACCCGTTCTCGCACTTTCTTACAGTCAATATTGACTTATTAAATACGTGCATATGTGACATACTAAACATACTAGTTTACCTTGAAAAGCTTCATAGAAAACACCGACCTTACCTAACCTTCTTAGTATGTTAAGATAAGCATCTTATTGCTTCGTAATTACAATTATTACTTAACCTATTATAGGTATTCTGATGCTGATACACGTCAAGGGTAGAGTAAGTAGTCTCTCATATCCCTCTTTGACGACGATGGAAAGCTAATCGTAAGTGTTGGAAATGAGTAAGTCATTAAGGTGAGTCTGGATGACCTGTAGCCGACGTCAGCGATGGTTGCTACCACTCATGAAGGAACAGTTATAAGGAGACGAACACATGCACTTCAGAGGGTCATTGAGGTTACAGGAATATGTGCAATTGGCTAATGTCTCTGTAGCTGTAAGATAGAGAGGCCCATGTAAGGTTACCACTTGGTGATGGTACAAGTGTTGGTAATGATGGTACAAGTGTTGGTAATGATGGTACAAGTGTTGGTAATGATGGTACAAGTGTTGGTAATGATGGTACAAGTGTTGGTAATGATGGTACAAGTGTTGGTAATGATGGTACAAGTGTTGGTAATGATGGTACAAGTGTTGGTAATGATGGTACAAGTGTTGGTAATGATGGTACAAGTGCTGGTAATGATGGTACAAGTGTTGGTAATGATGGTACAAGTGTTGGTAATGATGGTACAAGTGTTGGTAATGATGGTACAAGTGTTGGTAATGATGGTACAAGTGTTGGTAATGATGGTACAAGTGTTGGTAATGATGGTACAAGTGTTGGTAATGATGGTACAAGTGTTGGTAATGATGGTACAAGTGTTGGTAATGATGGTACAAGTGTTGGTAATGATGGTACAAGTGCTGGTAATGATGGTACAAGTGTTGGTAATGATGGTACAAGTGTTGGTAATGATGGTACAAGTGTTGGTAATGATGGTACAAGTGTCGGTAATGATGGTACAAGTGTTAACGGTGATGGCACAAGTATTGATAAAGCAGACAACAATGGTGATGCGGCAACAGGCAAGGCAAGATCATGGGGTCATGAAAGGCTCATCAATGGTCCAAATCGAAGGTACAATATGGTACAATGGCCCGGGCACAGCCTCCAGCCTCCAGCCACTAAGCACCAAAGTTCAACAATATATTAAACTTGCTGTTAGTAAAATATCTCTTAACAGTGACTAATGTTCACACTTCTCTACTACAGGATGGGAGGTCTTGAGTCTGTGAGTGAGGTCTGTGTTCTGTGAGTGAGGCCTGTGTTCTGTGAGTAAGGTCCGTGTTCTGTGAGTGAGGCCCGTGTTCTGTGAGTGAGGCCTGTGTTCTGTGAGTAAGGTCCGTGTTCTGTGAGTGAGGCCCAGGTACTGTGAGTGAGGCCCGTGTTCTGTGAGTGAGGTCCGTGTTTTGTGAGTGAGGTCCGTGTTCTGTGAGTGAGGCCCGTGTACTGTGAGTGAGGCCCGGGTACTGTGAGGGTGTTCTGTGGTCTGTGAGTGAGGTCTGTGTTCTGTGAGTGAGGTCCGTGTTCTGTGAGTGAGGCCCGCGTTCTGTGAGTGAGGTCCGTGTTCTGTGAGTGAGGCCTGTGTTCTGTGAGTGAGGTCCGTGTTCTGTGAGTGAGGTCCGTGTTCTGTGAGTGAGGTCCGTGTTCTGTGAGTGAGGTCCGTGTTCTGTGAGTGAGGCCTGTGTTCTGTGAGTGAGGCCTGTGTTCTGTGAGTGAGGTCCGTGTTCTGTGAGTGAGCCCTGTGTTCTGTGAGTGAGCCCTGTGTTCTGTGAGTGAGCCCTGTGTTCTGTGAGTGAGCCCTGTGTTCTGTGAGTGAGGCCTGTGTTCTGTGAGTGAGGCCTGTGTACTGTGAGGCCTGTGTTCTGTGAGTGAGGTCTGTGTTCTGTGAGTGAGGCCTGTGTTCTGTGAGTGAGGCCTGTGTTCTGTGAGTGAGGCCTGTGTTCTGTGAGTGAGGCCTGTGTTCTGTGAGTGAGGCCTGTGTTCTGTGAGTGAGGCCTGTGTTCTGTGAGTGAGGCCTGTGTTCTGTGAGTGAGGTCTGTGTTCTGTGAGTGAGGCCTGTGTTCTGTGAGTGAGGCCTGTGTTCTGTGAGTGAGGCCTGTGTTCTGTGAGTGAGGCCTGTGTTCTGCGAGTGAGGCCTGTGTTCTGTGAGTGAGGTCTGTGTTCTGTGAGTGAGGCCTGTGTTCTGTGAGTGAGGTCTGTGTTCTGTGAGTGAGCCCTGTGTTCTGTGAGTGAGGCCTGTGTTCTGTGAGTGAGCCCTGTGTTCTGTGAGTGAGCCCTGTGTTCTGTGAGTGAGGCCTGTGTACTGTGAGTGAGGCCTGTGTTCTGTATGTGAGGTCTGTGTTCTGTGAGTAGGTGTGAGGATTCTTAATTTAGTCAGAATTCCAAGTCAGACGTCAGGGAGATGTGAAGGTTGCTAGCTTCACCTGAGAGAGAGAGAGAGAGAGAGAGAGAGAGAGAGAGAGAGAGAGAGAGAGAGAGAGAGAGAGAGAGAGAGAGAGAGGGGGGGGGGAAGAGATGCTAATACTGAATTCTGGATAAAAATCTTCCAGACATATTAGCTCTTAAGATGAGCGGCGACCAGTTCCCGCCGCCAGCACCATACTGGCACTACAGCACCATACTGGCACTACAGCACCATACTGGCACTACAGCACCATACAGGCACTACAGCACCATACTGGCACTACAGCACCATACAGGCACTACAGCACCATACTGGCACTACAGCACCATACAGGCACTACAGCACCATACAGGCACTACAGCACCATACAGGCACTACAGCACCATACTGGCACTACAGCACCATACTGGCACTACAGCACCATACTGGCACTACAGCACCATACTGGCACTACAGCACCAGACACTACAGCACCATACTGGCACTACAGCACCATACTGGCACTACAGCACCATACTGGCACTACAGCACCATACAGGCACTACAGCACCATACTGGCACTACAGCACCATACAGGCACTACAGCACCATACTGGCACTACAGCACCATACTGGCACTACAGCACCATACTGGCACTACAGCACCATACTGGCACTACAGCACCATACAGGCACTACAGCACCATACTGGCACTACAGCACCATACAGGCACTACAGCACCATACTGGCACTACAGCACCATACTGGCACTACAGCACCATACTGGCACTACAGCACCATACTGGCACTACAGCACCATACAGACACTACAGCACCATACTGGCACTACAGCACCATACTGGCACTACAGCACCATACTGACACTACAGCACCATACTGGCACTACAGCACCATACAGGCACTACAGCACCATACAGGCACTACAGCACCATACTGGCACTACAGCACCATACAGACACTACAGCACCATACTGGCACTACAGCACCATACTGGCACTACAGCACCATACAGGCACTACAGCACCATACAGGCACTACAGCACCATACAGACACTACAGCACCATACTGGCACTACAGCACCATACAGGCACTACAGCACCATACTGGCACTACAGCACCATACTGGCACTACAGCACCATACTGGCACTACAGCACCATACAGATACTACAGCACCATACTGGCACTACAGCACCATACTGGCACTACAGCACCATACTGGCACTACAGCACCATACAGACACTACAGCACCATACTGGCACTACAGCACCATACTGGCACTACAGCACCATACAGGCACTACAGCACCATACTGGC